ACAAATGGCATTCCCTCTATATCCCCTATTGTGCCTCCCAATTCCAATATGCAAACCTATAAAGGATTAATATACAATTAAAATAATTATATTATACATTTATACACATAAAATATTATTTAAAAAATATCTATTATTTAAATTTATATTTGTATTTATATTTTTTGGGGAATTATCTAATTGTACATAATAATAAAAATTCACAAATTAACAATACTTCTGGTTTAGTTCCATCTTCTGTTACAGATTGATTCGCGACTCTCTCCACCCATTCCTGAATAGCATCTGTAATATGGGGCACCACTAAAAAACAAGATATTCTTTTTTTATTAACTTCTATATAACTCAACGTACGACAGACATCTGCAATATAATATAAATAGATTTGTAACCTTGTACTGTTTTTCCTAAGTAATCTCCCCGTCTCTCCTTCGTAATAACATATTGGTAAATTTTTCCAGTTGTTATGTTATTGTCTCTATGAAGAGTGATGTCCAGGAAGCGTTCGTAATTACCCAAGTCCAGATCCACCTCTCCACCATCATCAAGTACATAAACTTCACCTGTTTAACATCAAGAGAACCCTAGAATGCACGTTTACAGATAGAAAGACAGCAAAGGTGCGGAAATAAAAGCGGATGCGTCTATAGGAAATCAGTAACATATGAACGTTTTCCTTCAAGGAATTCTTGTACCTGACAGCTGACTGCATATCTGACTGAACAATGGGACGGGCGTATTATGTTTCACTTACATTAAATATCTATCATTCTCATTGAATGGTAAAGATAACTATAGGAATATAAGCATTTATGATAATTAAATTTTAACAATAGTTTTCTACCAAAGTGATTATACGTATGATATTAAATTTTCTGTTTTGTTTTGTGCAGTTAAAATTACAATAAATAATTTATTATTAGCATAAACAATATTGTTTTAATCAATAAGAAATATTTTAATTATAACGTAATCATGAATAAAATACAATTTTAAACGTAAACCTTATAATTTGTAATGAAAATGTTTTCTCACAAATTTTAATGTAAATTTTTAATTGACTTCCCTTTTTTGTTATCTTTTCTTTTTTAAACAACATTTACATGTTTCATACTTTTCTCGTATTCAAAAATTAAATATGAGATTATTTTATTTCATTATGTAAAAATTTAGTAATCTTATCCTTATCGCAATCAATTTGACGATATCTAGCTATGCAGGAAATATGCTTTGATTATTCTAATTCCTCATATAGAAAAGAATTATTTAATATAAACTTAAAAAAATTAACGGCTGATTTTTGTACAGATCAACGTGACAATCAAAATTTAATTAATCATAAACAAATTAAAATTCAATTTTTCATTTTCTGTTTACAATATAAAAAAGCTATAAATTGTAATAACGGTTCGTTAACTTGACGTCAGCTAAATTATTGGATCAGAAGAAACTAAACTGATCAACTCTGATTAATTTTATTGATTCTATTTATATTATACATTGATTAATTTATCAATATTATTTGGCTAACATGAATTAGCTATTAATTTTCTTTGATATACAGAAAAAGATCAAATTAAACGAGTTCAAAAATTTTTTTTATGACCCGGTTAAATTAATCTCTGATTAGGTTAATCAGAATTAACTTATGTTCGTTTCTACTAATGTAGATTATCTTTAATTTCGCTTTACATTTTTTTTCTTTCTCATTTTTAGAAAAAAATTCTAATTTTCTAAAAAAAAATCTAATTTTAGAAAAAGATTAAAAGTAAGTTAAACCAAGATTAAAGTTGTTCTACGTTAGTAGAAACAGATATAAAAATTGAAAAAAAAATGAAGAGCAAATTGAACAGAGATTAAAATTAATCTACATTGATAGAAATGAACTTCAGTCGCCCTAAAAATATTTTTGCAAGTCGCAAACGAATTAAGTTCAAAATCAAGGCGGGTTATAACATATATTTGCACTTCTCTGCGGCGGAGTCATAATTATAAGCGATTGTAAAATGTTACGATATTGACAGAAAATGGCGACGCGCCAGCACATGGCTGAAAATTTTACCGCCACAGAAGGCTGCCGCATTATCAATATTTTTTAGGATCTTTATCATATAATCATATGACAAGTTTCATTCGGATGACAAATTAATTTTTTTTCTGCTCTCAACGACGAAAAGATTGAATATGAATAAACGGGATTCGACACCGGTGAATTTATTCGAATTTAACCTCGTGATCTTTCGATATTCCTCGAAAAACTTAATATATTAAATAAATGTAATAAAACATTTAATATTTTAAATAAATATAATATATCGTTTGAATGGAGAAATCGCAACAATAAAAAAAGAGAAGTTTCGAATTATTTTTAGCGTCGAGACGCTCGAGATTCCGCTGCGATTTTTCCATATCGAACGGACATGAGTGAAATCGATGAGATCGAATTCGACGAAAATCCCGCCAATATTCATGACATTGAAGCCGTGTCTGTCACCATGCTCGTAGGGCGAGAACGTCCCGGCGTCTATGTTAATGTAGGGATCGATTTTGATGGACGTCACGCGGATGTTGCAATGTTTGAGGATGGTGCCGAACGAGCTGGCGATGACACCCTTGCCCACACCACTGATCACACCACCGGTCACTAAAATGTACTTCATGGTTGCCGAATTTGACCAGACTCGTTCACGATGCGAGAAAGAGGAGAGATTCGTCCGCGCATACGCGCGCGAAAATCTCTACTGGTCTCTACGGTCCGGAGCGAACTAAAGTCAAGTTCAGTTACTGAACGAAGCGGACCGGACGGAATGCAGAATACTTCTATATATGTAATGTGTATATTAGATCTGTTCTTTGTGGTTGTACTGTGCTGTACTTTCGCTCCTAAAATGAGACAGATATATAATTGACGATGCGAAAAAAAAGATGGAAAAGTGTTAAAAGATTACAAGGAACGAACTTGTAATGTCTGGTGAAACAGTAAAGATAATATTAAAAAGAGGTCTATCCGCAAAAAATCAATTTTACTTCAAAATCAAAATAGCAATATTTTATTCCAACATTTACATTGTTAATTTTATATAAATAGTACATATTATGTATATACATACACTATATATTGTATATATATATATATAAAACATAAAATATATATAACATATAATTATGTAGCATATATTTATGTAGCTTTAACCTTTTATCAATGTTTTAATTTTTAAAGAGAAATTGTAATTACAGAGTTTTTCACTAAAATTAAAATTACAAAGATATTGCGATATAGACTATATACATTTGTTTTTCTTTTTCATCTAGCAATGCATAAAATTTCATAAAATAATCTTGAAATAAATTTAACAATTTAAAAAAAGCATAGGATAAAATAATTATCAATTATCTATATAACATATTTAAAAATGTAGGACTATGTAAAATGTTCAAATATTAATGACAGACCATATGAATAATTCTTTGAACATGTACATATTAAAAAAAAAAGTTTGGACTATTCCAGGTAGCAAGCTACGTCATTTTGTCGTCATTTTGACGTCAGCTTGCTATCAAAGTATGTTACACTCGATATTAGGATGTACACAGAGACGTATACAAACTATACAATTTTAAAAATATCTTTTTACTTTTTTAATATTGTTACAAGTTTAAAATAAACGCAAAATCTAATAGATTTATTTAATAGTTAAAATAATTGAATTTTATTCCTACTGAGAAAACAATTATTTGCATTGGTGACACAAGTCGAAGAGAAATATCACTTATATATCTATATATTATACTTATATCTATTAGGGATGCACCGGATATTCGAAAAGTATTCCGGTATTCGGTATTATTCGGCACTTTCTTACTATCTGACCGGATAGTTGAATATCATTAGTATTTGGGAATATGTCCGACTGAAATTTTATCATTAAATTGTTGATTTTTTATTATATAAATGTTCTATAAATAAGTATGCACTAATAATGCTAGCGATGGGCATTATCTGTTACTGAATAACCATTATTGAGAAATAACTTCAATAAGTTATCAAATTTGAAAAATAAACATTATCAATCTTAAATGATTAATTTTAGATTTTATAAGTCAATAAAAGATAAATAGTAATGTTTAAGATCTTGCTATTTAATTTTTTTGCCAGAAGTGCTATCGCTGCTGCTGTATCAAGCTAAGGGTCTGAGCACAAGAATTGTTGTAACACTTAGAGACTTAAGTTGTAGACGTAAGTAACACACAAGCTTTAGCGTATGACGTACGATTTATTGCAGTCTCTTGGAGACACGACAATAAGTTGTACGTGAAAGCTTGTGCGTTACTTACGTCTACATTTAAGTCTAAGTAAGTGTTATGACAATTCTTGTGCTCAGATCCTAACATTACATGCGTCCATTTTTTGTCGTAAAACAAATTTTTCAAGCCTGTTGATTTTGGCTGTAAAACAAAGAAGTTCGAGATCCTCTGTTTTTTCAGTCAATTAACAAGCTTGAAAAATTCGTCGTACGATAAAAAACGAACGCATGTAATATTGACTTACATCAAATTAACATCTATCTTTTGCACAAAATTTAACATTTTATATTTATTTGTTTACACAAATATTTCAAATAGTTAAATATTTCAAAATAGATTTCTTAGATGAATTAAGTAATAAGAAATAATCCCAAAAATGTGACTACTGACTAGAGAGTATAGAATATTATAAAAAATAATCGTTTATATAATTGATAATTATTTAAAAATAATTGATTATTTTGAAGTAACAATAACTGTTATAATCGTTAATAAAAAAATAACCGTTTAGCCTATCTCTACTGTATATTGCTACAAAATTATAATGTTTTAATGTCTTAACCCTTAATAACTCGATTCACGAGATCGATCGCCGCTTTTTTGCCAGATTTTTTTCGTTTTAAGTGAAAACATGTCGAATAAGTCTATTTTTATTAAGATTTGAGAGGGAGGGTATTCTGTAAATAATTACCCAATTTTTTGTCCAGATTTTTTTTTAAAGAAGACATTGTCTCGGAATCTGGTCGGATATCCAATTTGGAAAGTTGCCTTCCCTGATATTCAACCGAATGTCTGATGTTACATTCTTTTCGGATATTCGATATCCGATAATTTTACAATGGTGCATCCCTAATATCTATTATATATCTATATACATATATATTACCTAGCTATCCTCTATATACATAAAAATACATTATGCTCTCAAGTTTGAGAACTGTCTTCAACATAATGCTGCCAATTTTCGGACTGTGTTCAAGTCACGAAGGAGCATCTGGACCGTCTGCTTAGTACGAGGTTGTACAAGCGGATCTGATACAAGTTCATCCGGGTCCATTGCCTCTAGAGCTGTGTATTAAAACATATGTATTAATACCAATTTAATCTTAAATCCCAAACAATAGGTGTAGTAAGTTTTAAACCATAAGATATCGGCTAATCACAGTTGAATATAAGGAAAATAATTGACTATAATATATTTTTTACAATTTAAGGCTCATTGCACCTACTGTTTCGGAACTAACATATTTTTTAAACAAATGCATGTGTCACATTTCTTTGTGTTATATATGTATTTTTTTTTATTACGTACCAAAAATTTGCGTTTCTATGGATGTTAATCTCGAATCAATGTGACATTGAAAATGCTCAATATGTTCTAACAATCGCATTCGGCATTCGGCTGGATCAATCGGTGCTTCGGGCTCTGGTATAAAAGGCTGCGGAAGTGCGGAGACTTCATTCTCGACGGTTATACTAGTTTCTTGTTGTACGTTGTCGATAATAAGCGATCCAGAATTGAGATTCTCAGGTACAGGATTAGCAATAATAGTTTTGTCAGCTAACAAATCTGCATAAAAATATCGTATAATATGTATAACGCAGTTGTATTTATTATCTTGTATGTTAAAAATTTAATTCTATCGGTAAAAAAATAGAAGGCTTATAATTTTTTTTCTATTTCGACTGCACTATACCTATTTCTATTTCACTGTACCTGCTTCTTCCGCTTTAATGTCTGACGTAGTAATGTCCTTTTCTTTTATGTCTGAATTACTACTCGTTAATGCGTCTAAAAGTATATGGCTGTCTTTCGAATTCAAGCCTTCCTTCTTGATAATCCTGGATTCATCAGAATGTGTGCTATCCTCTTCCAAAATTTTCATCAATTCCGAATCAGAAGCGATCGATTTTTCATCTTGATCATCCTTCGACAACTTGATATCAGTCTTTGTCTCGACACGTCGCGGAATTTCCGAACCTGTATTAGTAAAACTTGCCACTTTAGTTATTTCCATTACTGGTACTGGTTCCATATCTATTTTTGACATATCCATTTTTTCCCAATTCTTGGCCCAAAGATATAGTTTCGGATGATCTTTCTTTCTGTATAAATTTAAACAAATTAGTCACTATAACGCAAACATAATTTTTCCAAAAAAAAGATATAACTTACTGTGCTACGTTGATTTTTACACGCAAACTATGAAGAAGTTGTTGGATTTGTAAAAGTGCAGCAACTAAGTCATAAGAACGCTTCAACATTGCAATCCTTTGATTGATCATATACTGATTTCGAGTTCGATTAGGTAAACTGCAAATAAAAAAAAATAAATAGATTATTATATATACATAATTATTGTACACAATCGAAGTACAAACATGAATAAACTACCTTGGCAATTTTCCTTCCTTAATCCAGTCCTGATCGTGAAAATATTTCTTAGAAGGCCGTTGTCGATGTGGATTTCGGCATATGTAACAAATATATTTTTCAGGAACATCCTTTTCCTTTTCAATGAAATTACAATGACCATGTTGCCAGCAGAGACAGAGATCGCACTGTATCATCAAACCGTCCTCTTCCATAAAACCACACGTGCAATTTATTATTTCTTCTCTTCGAAGCTGTTCTACTTTTACCAGTTCGCCATTGATCATCATCATCACTCCTTCACTTTCTATGATACGAAGTCAACACATTTATTTATGTAAAATTTACATAAAATTTTATAGACATGTGAGAGGTGTATATTAAGTACTAATGTGTATTTCTTGCGAGCATATAAAATAAAATGTAACAACGAAAATAAGATTGGCAATACATTAAATCATGAAACAAAGTCAATAAAAGATTAAAAAAAAAAAAAAAAAAAATAAACAATGTACCTTCTGCATCATTATTAATATCTGTTTTGATTGCATCCCCTTTTAGGGGATCAGCTTTATCAATGCGTGAATCATTTAGTTGACCTAAGAAACAACAGAAATAATACAATAGTAAATATTATACAACGTATTTCCTGCTTTAAAGAATCCCAAGTACATAGTTGCATTAAATTAAAGAAAAAAAGCATATCTAAAACAAAATAATTGTTTTCGTAACGTATGGCTTTGTAAAATATAGCAAAACGCTCACACTTACTATTCTGGCTATTTTCGTCGCTCTTTGAATCGGATTTTCTACGGCTATATCTATACATAAGTGCCGTAGGTCCTTCGACGTCCATAGCACTGTCGTCTAAATCACCGAAACTATCGGTAAGATCTGGCATACCTACTCAAAGGAATATTGAATGTTATGTAATCTTTTTTCATAAATAATTAATGAAATATAGAACTTGCCTTAAAAAGCAAAAATCTTGTAAAAATGTGGAAGTTTCTTACCATGTCGCTTCTTTGTTTTAACTGACAAATCCACATTATGTTCAGTAAGCCTTTTTTTCTGATTTTTTGCGCGCTCACCGTGCGTCATATCATCTAGAGGTTTTGTCCTATCGGTCCTTTGCACCTCCGATGCTGCGACTGGTCTTACAGGCAACAGAGTTTTAATGCCACCTTGCGCTTTTTCTTCTTTTACTTTCATGTCAAATAATGTACCAGGAGACAATGCACAGACATTCTCCCTTTTCTTTTCAATATCTTCATCTATCTCCGTACTGTGATTAGATATAGGTGACATTGTTTCAATTTTCATATCCTCCTTCTGCGAATCATTACACTTTGTTAATTGATCCATTTCCTCTTCTTCTGGCATCACTGGACCAGGTATTGACGGAGATGTTGGTTGCATAGTATTTAATGTTGATTGTAATAAAGTAGATGGCGATTTTTCAGGAAGAGATTTCTTTTTCGCAGATTTATTCATTTTCTCCATGAATGTCGGTTTTTTAGGAATTATATCTTCTATAGATTCCCCGATCGTTCTTGCATAAGCTAAATCTTCAACTTTTGGAGTAGAGCCCAGAAATTTGGAATATTCAGGATGATAATGTTTGATATGCATTTGCAGCAAATTTTCTTTCCGAAAATTTTTATTGCATCCTTCTTTGGGACATTTATAAGCGTTGTCTTCCATTTCTACACGAAGTCCACCACGAAGTCCAATAAAAACAGCTATTTAAAAGAAAATTAATAAAAAAATTATATTATAAAATATTCAAAGATTTATATTATGTTTTATAAAACCACATCTACTTAATTTATATAATATAATTTATATAATTTATATAATTTATATAATCTTATTAATTTCAGCAATAAACAAGATAAAGAAAGATTAATTGTTTTTAAAAAAGAATACATAAGCTTATATTTGTTATACTTCGCTGAGTCTTAATTTTGCAAAAATACAATATCTATGAGTACTTACAATAGATCATCTCTGTTGAATTAGTAGAATGTAAAAAACATTGCAAAGATTAAAATGTGATGTGCATTAAAACGTAATATATTGCAAAAATCTTACCACCATCCGTAGATGTACTAGACATGGAGGTAACTGGTGTAGTGTCGATATTAGTCACCGTCGTAAGTAATGTATTCTCAGGTGTTTTTGTTTTAGGCAATAAGGTTTTGATCTTCTTTGGTGTAACTTCTGATGCAACTTCCTGTTTCACACGATGCAGGTGGTTTCGTTTTCTGCGATGTATACAGAAGTCGAATTTTTCGGGGTCAAAGTCGTACTGCCCTTGATTCTCCATGAATATTCTGATGTCATTTCTCGATCTGAACTTCTTCCCAGTCTGTTTACTTTTATAAAAAATTGTACACAAATTTTATTTCATATAAAAATTTCATTATTAATCATTGTGAATAAAATATATCTTTTATCTTACTGTATAAACAAGACGTCCCATTTTCCAGCAGATGAGCCAGCTTTTCTCTGTGTAAAGTGTTTTTCCCAACCAGGAGGCAATCTCTTGTCTGGTACTATTATAGATCGGCGAGGCCCTGAAATATTTTCCATATTTTAATTAGTAAAAAGACTATGAAATTATACTTATATCAAATTATTAATTAGGAGCATAAAAATCAAAGCTGGTTCTTTTTGTGAAATTAATTTCTTCTGTCATTATTATTATATAGTTAATTTACAAATGTTCAGATCTCTGATGGTTAGACCACTTTCAGTATGTCAGGTAAACAATGTACACATATAAAATTATTAATAAATAAATTTCCATGTTATATTAAAATATTATTATATCTTTACAGACTTAAAAATATTTTTAATGAAATTCCACTGTAACTCACCATCATTGCCATCTACAATATAAGATTCTGTTCCTTGTGGTTCTCCATCAATCCATTCAGGACCAACGTTTTCTTCAATTTGATCCGTTTCAACCTTGGGTACTTCTTTCTTGCTTTTCTTTGAATATGATTTGATTTTTGAGGGATTAGTTTCAAAACCTTTCAACAAATCTGTTCCTGGGTCATAACAAGGACCGTATTGGGTACCATCCATCTCGATCTTATTCTCTGAAGAGGTTTCTCCACTTTCCTTGACGACAGTCTCCTCCTTTTTTGGTGTTTTGTCAATATCTTGTTTCGTGCGTTTCCTTGAGTGAGTGTTAAACAACTCCATAACTGTATGTTTCCTTTTCTTATCCCTTCTTTCTTGTTTACTGCCAATATATCCATCCAGTTCACTTAATTGCTTATGTAAAAAAAAAAATCATCTTAGAAATCATGTCAATAGAATATAACATAAGATTTATTTTTTTTTTTTAGTTGGACTTTTTGAACAATTTATTATTTTCAGAAATTTTTTTCATTTTCATTCAAAAAAAAAACAGACTTAATACAAAAATCTTCTGAAAAATTATAAGAATCTCAATTAAAAAATTTCATCTGCAACACAGCTTGTTCCAAGTTTCTGCTGTAGAATCACTTTTGCATTCATACGACTTATTGAAGTAGTAGTTAAAAAATAAAATAAAATGATACAAGATTCACTATGGAAGTACTATTTGGTTTTACCAATTCAGGATTTCTTTGAATAACTGAAAAATAACAACATAACCTCAATCTAGAAATCTATACCTTTGAATTTCCAGCGATCTTGGTCATTTTCGACGACTTGACGATCTTTGCGTATCCATCGTCGAAAAGTACGTTATACCTGTCTGAGAAAAAAAGGATTTACTTAGGACCACCTCTAAGCCACATCGGGACAGAAAAAAATGTTAAGTATATCCACAGATTCGTCTCTGAATATAGCCAAACGTCAAATCTATGGGAACGCAATCTAGCCTCTCCGCTCGTGCGGCTAGGTTAGGTTAGGTGACTTACCATTCGTCAGGACCGCGCTCACTTTGGCTGGATATTTTTTGCCATCCGCCCACGTAGCAAGTATCCTTTCGCCCACCGAAAATTCTTTCATCTTCACTTCCCTGCGGGTGCGAAATTTTCGCATTATACACGCGTAACAGAAAACACGACGATCAACGATACAATACGCACACGAATTTTAGCAAAACGGAGGGAAAACTACAAATGAGGGTTGGAGAGGGGAGGCAGGAAAAATATGAGTCGCGTCGTTAGGGTTTCTCATTTTTTCCCCCTCTCCCCGAGAACTTGACTCCTAGAGGGCTAGAATTGTCCATAGAATTCAATTGTTAGCCATTGGAGATTTGTCCGACTTTGAAAGTCTGGATTCAACGTTTTGATAGAAAATTGTTATAATACATTTGAAATGTGATAACGTAAGTATATCGATGAAAACGAGATATATAGTAATTATACAATGCTCGTACGTATCAGGCAATGCATGCGAGACACGATGCAATGCATAATTAGTATTACATTACATTACACAATGTAAAGAAAGTTTCCTCTTATCCTATGTTATCCGCAATGATAAGTCGATATTTTTATTTTTACTTTATATATTTTTGCTTGTGTAACATAAAGAAATCAAAGTCGATGTACACAGTGTAAAGTGAACATTTTATTTGTGTATTCCGTTGTTTGAGATATGTGGATAATGGGTCAATATTTACCATCCTTGCCAAATCAATATGAAGATTCTAAATAGTATTTAACTCTTGTTAATTGCAGCACATAAACAAGTAAAACAATAAACTATTATAGCTATCAAGTATTAGAACTATTCATTAACGCAATTTCAACTTACGGAGATGGCGGAATCCAAGCCTGTTCGCTTTAAGGAAAGACAAATGACAATAGCTTAAGATATAATCCTTTTAGACCTTTGGCTAATATGGAAGATTCTTATTTAATACTATCTTAAATATAATCTTTAAATGTCATGAACCAATAAGAAAGCTGCATTAGCGTCTTAAATATTACTTAAGATGGTCTTAAAATAAAAACAAACTATAAATACTGGCCAGAATCTATTCTTATTTCAAAATCATTTTAAGGGGATGCTAAAGTGACCAAATTATATTGTATAAAAATTTTCAAATTAATTAAACGGAATCATAAATCCTTTTACAGAATTAAAGTAGACGCAAAATTAGGAGTGTAGTGGACTTTACACTAAAATCGAAAAAAAGTAAAAACAACTTTTTTTTTAATTTAGTATAAAGTCCATTGTATCATCTCTCATTCAGTCAATTCGAGATTTTTATATGTTAATGTCGATAATTTGGTCACTCCAGCATTCCCTTAAGTAATATTTTAAGATGTTAATACTACTCTGTCGCCAGTATTAATAGTCTACTCTTACTTTGAGACTATTTTATGTAGCGATTTCAAATGCTAATATAGCTCTGTAATTGACTTATGACATTTCAAGGCTATACTTAAAATTATTTTAAATATGTGAATTGACTATGAATACCAATCTGTGATTTAATTAAGTTATTAAATAATTTATGATATCTTAAGATAAGTTTAAATAAGAATCGACTTTGAGAAAAATATAGAAATGAATGAAATAATTTATACGAATCATCGATGCTGTTACGACACTTTCAGTGACAAAATTAGAGCATCAACTTACTTTTGTGGGGTTTGCAATACACGTAGTCTGGAACTGTCCATTGGTATCCATTCATCAAATCTCGAACTCCATTTGTCAAAGTGTATTAAAACTTCCCTCTCGTCCCAATCTGTTTCTACCACTTTTGCAGAATACCTGCGCATAAATATTAATCAATATATATTTATTTCATCAAAACTTTTAACATAATTTTTAATTTGTCTTGTCCATATAAAATTGCAAGTATTTTTTGTACTGCAATAATTTCTCGTGTCTTCTTCTAATAAACATTTTTTATTGAAATTGTACCCGATGATACTTGCCACTTATCATTAAAGTCTTTCGCTTCCAATTTGGCACCAGGAAAAAATTTCAAATCACCACGATTTAAAACCTTTGGTTTCAATTCTTCCGATTTGTCGAATTCCTTGTTGCCAGATAATTTTAATTCCTCCTTTGCTATTAGATCTTTGGCACTAGTCTTCATTTCCGTTTCTGGCTCGACGATACCAAGTTGCATCGCTACTGTATTCACTTTATTATCCGAATTTTTGCTCGGTTTATCCGTCTCGGATATTTTTCTTTCTTCTTTCGAATTTATCATTTTGTATTCATTATCTGTTACGTCCGAGTTATCAGGGAGATTTAAGGAGTCTGCTGACGACTCAGGTCTGGAATAACACGTTTCACCGCAACTGTCGGATTTAGGTGTTCTCGCCTCAGATAATAATGGTGAGGCAGAATGTTCCAAATTTAGTATTTCCGAATTGATCAGGTCCAAATCTTCTTGAGCGTACGATGTTGAAGACTTCACCGACATGATAACAGGATCTGAAAAGGAAATATAATTGTTCTTATCTTAATAAAAATATACAATCTTTATCCATGTGAAAAAAATCAATTAAAATAAAACAAAACCTGATAAAGTTATTTTAAGAAATTGTTCTTCCCAAGAAAAAAAGAACATTTTTTTATTTTCATAAAGATAAGCTAACGAGGCTGTACAAGATATCCCAAAGTATCGAAAGTTTCATCTCTTTTATAATAGGTTTGAAAAATTTTAAATAAATGGAGTTTTTTAAAAATATCGAAACGTCAATAATTTCTGGATTAGGAAGTTCATTTCCTGTGAACTAAATTTCAAATAGAAGAAATGAATAAGAAAATTGTATTATTTATTAAATGACGTTCCCTTCAAATTTCAATAATTTCCAGATTAGGAAGTTTGTTTCTCGAGAAATAAATTTCAAATAAAAGAAATAAAAACTTGTATTCTTTAGTGAATCTCAAGTGGAACTTCCTCCAAATTTTAATTTTTTTCTTTTGCTTAGGAAAAATAAATTTAAAGTCAAAGAATCTCATTGTGAAACATGTGATTTTTTTTAGATGTGTGTGTGTGTGTGTGTGTGAGTGTGTAATCAAATTTGCGATGTAAATGTTACAGTGAATTACAGTGAAAGCATAAAATTCAATAATTATATATTTTGAAATCCAATAATTGTACTAGTAAATATATACAAATATTTAAAGTACTAATAAGTCTAAAAAATAAAAATATATTTACTGTCATTAATAAATTTACGCTTATCAGCAAATGTATACACATAATAATGCACTATGTCATATCAATTGACATAAATTCTTGCAAAATTGCACATTTTATTGTATTAATAAACGATTTATTATTTGAATTGCATAAATAATTTAATATTTTCTCATTTAATTAAAATAAAGAAATAAGGATAAAATTTTTTTTTAATAGAAAACAAATGAATATTTTTATTACATTATTTAGCAAAATATAATCTTCGTTCATTGCACAACACAAGTGGACATCGCACTTTGAAGTGTGCTTCATTTTGTATCATTTGTAATGTTCCATTTAAAAACACCTGTTACATTAGAATAGCAAATGTATACATTTGTCAATGTATCGATTTGGCTTTTAACATTTTTGAATGATAACATTAGTAAGTACACGTAGCTTCCTAATGATCGACCATTGATTTTATGCTTTTATTATAAAACACTAAAAATGCTGTCGCGTTACATTGCGAGTACCGGCTTGGCGAGTTATCGCCGGTGAACATTCGAACGTCGCTGATTACTCGATTCCATTCTCACGCGAGCGTTCGTTAACGCTATCAGGCGACAATGACACACCGGTGTGTTGTTAGAAAAAACGGACTTTTTAGAATAGAGTACTACTGGCATGACGCCGGTGCGACGTGACACGTTCCCTCGGCGAACTCGAAGCTGGCGCTCCTCAGCGCTCCTATATGCATGAAACAGACTCCCGGGAAGGGACAGGACGAGGAGAGCCGAGAGGTGAGGGAAATTGGAAGAACAACACTGAACGGGGAAGGCACAAGATAAAACGAGGCGAGGGAGAGAGGAAGGAAAGAGCGCGCGCGCGCGCGCCAGAGAGTGAGTAAATGAGAGAGAGAGAGAGAGAGATAGAGAGAGAGAGACGAATGCGCGAAACGCAACTACGTTTGCACTTCGCTCTCGCGGCACTAGGCGAGCAGACGTCTCTCTTCCCTCGTCCGGTCTCGCCGCGTCACACGTACCGGGATGATCGTCATAGTCCGCGAAAATCGTGGGTATACTGCCCCGCTTGAGCAAGAGCTTGTGACCGCCCCGCGCGGTCTCGTAGTCGGCACGTTTAAAATGCCTATGGCAGACGACCTGGCCTGGCGTCGGCTTGAAATTCGTCTCGAAGCCGCCGCTGGCCAACCACCTGTCCCTTAGCGCGGTGTCCTTGGGGAACTTATGTAGCGGCAATCCTTTGGCGCGTGCCTCCCGCACGTCCGTCTTGCAGCTATCAACGCAGCATTTGCGCGCCATTCCCATCGCCCCCGCCGCCGCCGTCGCCGCTGCCGCCGCAGAAGTCGCCGCAGCCGCGGTTACGGCGGACGATACCCTCCTCTCGATATGCGAGCGCGGTATACGCCGCTTCATTTACACCGCCGGCCGCTACATAGCGGTTTACGCAGGAAACGTTCCGCAGCGCGGAAACCGCACGTACCCGGTTTCCGCGGTGCGGACACTTCACACTCGCGTTAGACAACACACTCTCTTGCACCGCTCCGCGTGGAACGCGGTGGAACGCGACCTTAACGCTTCGCGCGGGATGCCGTGAATCGCTCTTTCTTTTTCTCTCACACTCTCCTTTCTCCCTCACGCCGCTTATACGAGAGCAGCGATATATTCCGGTTGACTCCGGTACTTGTGCGGTCTGCTCCGCCGCTGAAAACGCCCGCGAGACGACCGTTCGACCAAACGTTTCGGCTACACGCACGACACTGATCAACCGATCGATACGGCAGCATCGAGCAGTCGGAATCTCCGATGTCGCCGTAGTCGCTGTCGCTGCGACCCACAGACTCAGTGGCGCTGGCGTCGTCGCAAGTGCGCCTGCGCACGTGTCAGGCCCGCGGAAAACTATCGCACGTGTACCCCTCTACAATACAAATAATAAAATATGGAGTATTTCTTTCTGGAGGCTCTCTGGAGCATCTCTTGCGACTCACGGCGTGAGTCTCACGCCATTGTTGCATCATGAATTGCTGATATTTCCAAGAGAATCGCGCGTCCATCTGTTCTTCATCGAATAAAGGAAACAGTTAATGTGGATTAATTAACTACAAAAAAAGGCTGAAAGGATCGTTTAAATATGGTAAAGTTTATTTAATAACATCACAGATACAATAATTATGTACATAAGAAAGCGCCAGCATTTTCGGGCTGTACACTTCCGTCTCTATCTCACTTGTCAACACTGTAAGCACTGAAGTACTAAGTTTCGGGAAATAAAGGTGCTGCGTATAAGGGCGGATATTTAACGACTTCGACAAGGATAATTCCGCTCCGAGTTACGAAATCGTATAGTTTAAAAATCATCACGCGTCCGGGACGCGCTTCATAATTCCGAACCGTGAAATTTGGCTAATCACCTTCCAAACGCACGGATTTTTTTTAACGACCGTTTCCGTCTCCGAAGTATTATAGATTGTCCTCGGACGAAGACAATTTGTCGAATACGTAAAGTTTCAGTTGAGCATCGTGCCTCTGCGGTGGCGCGGTAGAGTCGGGCTTCGCCATTTGCGAGGCACATGGAGGATCTATGGTACGGGGTAACAGAGTGCGGTTGAGCTCGGCCACCGAGGCAGTTGGGTCCTTCAAGGGTAGAGTAACTTCTCTTAAAGAGTCCGTAGGTGAGGAAGGAAGCACCACTTTCTCGGGAGCATTTTGAATAAATATCACCCTGGAATAGTTGGACGTAAAATAATTTAGGACGAATTTTTACTTCAGCGATATTGTAACGCTGCTGCAATATTACTGGAATGCTACCTACATATAAAAATGGAAGGAAGTGGAAAAATATGACACCTACCTATTAAATGCTCGCCACTTTCTGCATAATGTAATATACGCTTTGCATTGAATATACATAAAAACTAATCCGCCAGTAGAACCAATCACGACGACTATCAATTTGGTCCAGAAGGACCAGTCGACGAATCCGCGTCGGGCCTCCTCTACAGATCGTTCAACGAGTACATATAATGACCATGCCACGCAGAGCGCGGCCACAGCATGAAAAGCAACTGCGCACCATAATTTCCGCACTTCCAGCGCGGACATCTCGAGCTTCTCCCACTGCAAAGATATACCTCATTTATACTTATATCGTTAGACAAATTGTAGCATGACAGGTACTTTTAATTCTCGGAAGAAACTTTCCTATGATGAAACAAGTTTGCCTACCTCGCAAAACGGTTTTGTCTTAGCATGCATAATAAATGTGAATTTGCACAATTCGCAGGCGCGCGTGTCTGAAGCTTTTATCCATTGTTGAAGGCAAGCTTGATGCACGTAGCGTAGACTGCCACTGCAATAGCAAGGTGCTAACAAAGGGGCGCCTTCCTCACCCTCGCAATGGCAGATCCTATTTTACAAAATGCATGATTTTCTCACAATGAAATAAAGATTGTACACGTATATGTATATAGCTATAAATAGTACACTGTACAATCGTATATAGTAACGATAAGTACAGGATAGAACTACGGTCTATTTACCTGCAAATATCATGGTTGGTCGAAGATAATGTGTTCACGGATGAGTGGCAATCATCTGGTATAATAGTAACTACTGTACCATAAGCAAAATTCTGAAATGAGTATATTTCTGAGTCACGGGAAGAAGTTATTATCAAGATACTCTTTATCTTTCTATACAATTTATGTCAACGCATAAGTACTTCCCAGATAATATGTTATCGAGCTACATTAATAATTATCAAGGTGACAAAATTATAATATTTAAGAATATAAAATATCTCATTTCAAACTTTGCGCTTTATGTCTTTGTTTTCGCAATATTGCTTTTGTGCCTTTATTGATTCAATTTTTTTGGAACATAATATACAACGTGACTTCTACTAACTTTTTAAACTGCAGAATCTTTAGTCTATATTTTGAAAATAAAAAGCGAAATAAATTATCATTTGTCATAAAATAATGTATCTTTGTATTTAAGTCTTAAGTTAGAATTTTGTCAAAATATAGTTTGAAAATTGACTTGAAATTAATTGAAAAATATGATTTTATTTTTTGTTGCATTTTCAAAAAAATTTTTATTTCCAATCATATAAAATAATTCAAAATTACAGTTAAGTAGAATTAACGTTTCTGCATAAAGAAAAACTCTACACAAAGACTCTGCAATTTGCAGAAAAAAAGCACATAGTAAAAGATATTTCATATTTTCCACAAAGATTTAAAAGAGCTAAATAAAGTAATGCATATTAATTCTCAATAGAAGGATCACCTGTGGTATCCATTCTGATAAAGCTTCTCCACCAGCAGGACTTGTATTATTGGAAGGACCAATTGACAATGGTGGTTGCCAATCAGGCGGATTAACATTAATCTGATGAACCGGCATTACTCTCCAACCTCGCCAAATATAGTAATCACTGACAATAAAATTTGATTAAATGTATCTTGGATACATGGTTATTACGTTTTTTGGTATGTGTTTTGACACCAAAATTGTAGTATTATATTATTCGTATCTTTCAAGCATTATTCAGCCTTTAACATCAAATGTGTATAGCCTGAAATCAGATATACAAGTGTTACGTTTATAAACACATCTATAAATAACATACATAAAGTTATTTGGTACAAAACATTACATGCACACACACAACATACATCTATACATATATGCTATAAGCTACAGCTACATTTAAATGCAAATTCTTTACATAATTATATAACTATAATCTGTTTGCAGTGGCAATTTTTATCCACACATACACACACACACATACGTGCGCGCGCGCACACACACATCACATATACGTACGTACGCACACGCGCACATACATACATACATATATATGTTATGTATACATTTTACCAATATGCTGCCAAACGTATTCAATTTATAAATGTCTACTTAACGAATGAATAATTAACTTCAGATTAAAACGATCCGTTTAGCAAATATTCCGACAATAGTTTAACAGATAAACTCGACGAATAATCAGTTTGTCAACAACATATCCAATGACATTTAGCATAAGTTTAAATAAGACAGATTTTTTTCTTCTCGAGGAAATTTATGGTAATCGAGCATTGTTAAATCAAGTTGCTCCACGAACGAGGATCGGGGAAGCGACAAAGGTAACTGGCGTGCGTCGCGCTGCGTCGCAAATCGCGAAGTCTCTTCGTGTTTTGTCCGAGATCGAGCCGCATAAAAATGCTCGTCGATATCGCCCCGCACGAGGGATTTCAGCGGCGCACTGCAGGAGGAACAAGAAAAGAAGAAGGAAAACAAAGCGCACACCGATACATCACGTACATACACGCTCCTGCCCAGTCGTCCGTCGTGTGTTGTCCCTCGATCGGAGTCTTCTGTCGGCCAAGCGACGAGAATCTGCCGGGCCGGGCGGCGAAATTATTCACGGACCGTTTTAATATATTACGTCGCGATGACGGAGGAGAGAAATGGGCGAAAAACGAGCACGAGCCAGATTTTGACACTTCGCCCTGAGTCAATGACACGACAAACGGGAGGATGTGTCGCTCGGTGTGTCTCTCCCTGCAATTCCGCGTGTGCGCCCGCGCCCGCGTGCACGCGCGCGCGCGTCGGAGTGTGACAGCGAAGCCAAGCGAAGTTTAATCGCGTGCCTTGGCACGGCGGCTGGCATCTACGTAACACCGTCGCGAGTGTGAAAACGCGCTGACACTCGCCGCAATAACTCGCGAGACGACAACACTATGCGCCGTCCTCATCGCAATGCGCTACCCTTCCACCCCCGCACGGCAAAACAGACAACAGTCAAAAGACAGCTGCGCGTGAACGCCATGAACCCCGTCCGTCCGTCTGCTACGCCGCCATGACGTGCCGCGGCCTTGGACGCGCCCGGCCAATGGCCGGCCGCGTGAGCGCTGTCGGGTAACGTCTCGCCAATAATACCGCGCGATTTCGAATCCCGCTGCTAAGCTGCTATTCGCGGCTACTCAACACCGGCTGATTATCTTTATCGATAAATACACGAGAGTTCCTGCGATTATTCGCCATTATTCGCTGTCCAATCACGATAATGTCACGCTCCACATGTCGTTTATCTCAAATTAAGGAATATCTATTTATGAAATTTTCATATCTTCAGTTTTTTGAACCGCGCGCGAGCATGGGCGAATCTGCTTAATTTGCGCGAAGATATAGGAAAGAATTGAAAACGTAATCAATAATATAATAAGTCAAAGGATAATAATTCAAGAATAATAACAATTCGGAGAATACGAATTCAAAGATTTGCAGATAATCTAGAGTAAAAATTAAGCCTTTTCATTTCGCGCATTAAGCAAAGATAAAAATATACTCATCTCTACACATATACATAATATACATATATGTATATACATTAAATATGTGTGTATGTATATATATATATATATATAAAATATATTGTATAATGTGCATTATATGATAATACATATTATAATATATTACATACAATACATTAATACATGTTGCTCTTAGATCGTAGAAGTATATAACATACATGCTTATGTATATATAGTATTTAGAACTATTTGTAAAAAATTTCATCAATCTTCTTGGTAACTGATTTGATTGCAATGTCAAATTGTTCCGAATTGTCTTTATATATGTGTAGTGTGTGTGTGTGTGTGTGTGTG